ATGTTTAAGTCTAAATGCTTTAAACGATCTCTTTAGGCCTTAAAGCAATTTGTAAACTGCTTAAGATTTTGCTGAATCTATGTTTGTAACACATCGCTAAAAGCAATATCGATTTGTTAAGCTGCTACTAAGTTTATTCATTCATGTTTGTCTGGTGAAGATATCCCTTTAGTGTAACAATAAATGACGGTTCAATTTGAAGTTGAATTCGAAAAATTAGTGAATAGCGCCACAAAATATGTCACACGAAATGGGTAGCAAATATTATTTCTATATTCGTATGGAATAATAGCTTATGTCGAAAGGCTGGCATTAGTATAATGTGGCACTCGCAGTATCCGATTGCGAATGACCCACTGGCGCCGAGCCGTTGAAGAACTTTTGGCAAATAAATGTGCAAGAAATAGTTCCGATACTAAATATCAAGACAATATTCTTATTAACTCTCATCAAAAAATACTTTGTCGTTTAAAGAATAAAGGGAATGTCGTATTGAAAAATATGTATATTGGGTTAGTACACCAATGCCAAGAGGGCCTCTGGGTCTGCAGTTAACACTTTAAATTAGAAGTTGCCCTCTGCACTTTCGGACTAAAGAAAATCGATAATCACCGTCTATGCTTCTCAGCTTCCAACCTCACTAACCGATTGATCCTCTTCCTATTCTGAAAATAGCGTGAGTAAATCTGCATGACCACTCTCCCATCTGCTCTAACTAGTAGCACTTGATTTTATTTTTGTGCCATTACTAAAGTAATATAGTTCCACTAATTGAAGTAATTAAATTTACGAACACAATAAATTCTAAGTTATTTACTAATTACAATTTAACTATTTATCAAATGAAAAAAAATCGGCGGGAATCCTTTCAACGTACTATAATGCTATTCAAAACAATTCATTTGAATGATAGATAACCGCGCTACAATTCCAATGCAACGCAAATGTGATGACATGATTAATGTACTAAAAGATTTACGATTATTCGCAGCCATTAACACACGCGCATTAAAATGACTCAATTAAGCGGAATTGATTGAAGTGTTACGCACACGAATACATGCATACATACAAATGTGGCCCACCGCACTACCTACACAATAATGGCGCAATAAAAGTAATAGAGTTGAAAATGGAAAAATGCTGCCGTGCAACTGTCACAGAGATGACATAGCACACACTTGCATACATACATACATATAACGGTAGTATAATCCTATGTATTTACATACGAGTACTACAGTGATATTTATGCACGCCTACAAAAATCCATTATATTATATTATATAAATCTTACATAGCGTCTACTAAAAAATTTAGTGCGAGGCGGCAATAAAAACAATGCATTGTTTTTAATTACAACTCATCGAATACTTTAATGGTGAATGTCAACGCTTGACAACCTTTTTTTTTTTGGTAGCCGGGAGTTTTTATTATATGAATGTAATATGGCGGTCCATCAAATGGTGCGCGACAATTAAATGTTAATAAACAAATGGAATATTTGTTTTTGCTTTTGCTTCTGCTTCTGCTTATTCTATTCCTGTTTGTATGGGTAAAAGCCGAGTAAAAATAATAAAAGTCTGCGGCTACTTTTAATTTTTATTGCAGTTTCTTTTATTTAAGGCTTCTTTTTATATCGAATGGATATGTGGCTTATCAGAGTGAATTTGTGTGCATTTTTTGTTTGAATTTGATTTTACAAGCCTCCATTATTAAAGGTATGTGAGTGAGATAACACCGCAATATAGTTTTAATTTTCACTCAAGTGGCAAGTGTTTAAGTGCCACATAAAATTATATATGGGCATTAGAGTGCATTAGTCGTCCAACAAAAAAAATCGGTATAGTTAAAATATTTCAGAAAAATTTCACTGAAAATATACATATGTGTATGTATAGTAGGGTGCCTACCGGAAGGTTTTCTTGACCTGGGACGATTTGAAAATATCTCCAAAATGCGAATTTTCATAAATAAAATTAGTTCCAAAATAATTTTATACTTAAAAATCACACCAAATGGTAGAACAGTTTAAGCTTAGAAGATCTACATAAACAATTTTATCGATTTAATCAAATTTATGAGATTTGTGGAGGTACATTTTTTCAAATCGATCCAGCTCAAGAAAATCTTAAAATTTATTACATTTTATAACTCCGGCGGAAAAATTGCTACTTACTAGTGAGGCACCCTAATATGCATACACGTATGTACATAAATATGCATATTTTCAGTGACCTATAAGTACCAGTCAATAAGCTGATACGAGAATAGTTGACCAAAGCTAAAAAAATGTATGGCAATGTTCGTGACTCTGTGATTTTAGGTAGATTACCCATGCTGCTTTTTAAGGAAAATGTTTTAAGTATAACTTGAAATCGAACAATAGTTTATTAACCCATGACTGCTACTATCATCTTAATCGATTATAGTAATCAATCGAACATCATAATTATCGATAATTCGATAACAGAATCTATTTCTTCATCGCTACTATATGGATATCGTTATTGATATCGTTTTCGACTTTGCTATAGATACTTTTATTGGCATTGTTATCCTCATTCGATGGCCATCGGCAAAGGTATTGTTATCGATAATTTATCAGTGTTAGCGGCGTAGCTATTGCTGCAGGTATTCTTTTATGTTTATAATAAATTTAGATATCAATAAACAAACTAATCAGCGCGTAGGACGATTAACTCAAAAATATTTATTTTCTTATAAAATTAATGTACAACTTCAAAAACAAAATTGGCGTATCTAATTAATTTGTTATACTTACTACATATCACATCAAACAAATTCATTCAGAATTCATAAATTTTCAATTGTATGGACATACCTGAAAATAGACAAAATTAATCATTAATTGAAAGCTTCTTACGTAAATAAGAAAAAGTAGCATAATTAATTAAAAGAAAGCTTTTAGGTTTTCTTTTGAAAATGTTTTTCGAATTTATTCGTATGTATTTTTTTTTCTACGCACAGTAATTTCTTTCAAATTTTTTCTTTTTCTATATGTTTCTCTGTTATTTCTTGTGGCTTCTTCCAAAGCTATGACATGGAAAGCGCACATACATACCTACGTTGTAGTGCTTAATTTTAAGCGGATTAGGTGGAATGAAGAAATTCTCTTGCCGGAAAGCTAGAAATTAACGAAAACAAGAAAACAATAAGAAAAATTTTAACTAACATATAAAAAGTAAATTAGTGAATTTTTAATTTGAATATATAAAGTTTTTAGTTTTACAAAAATGCTGACAAGAGTTTTAAAGCTCATTTCACGCTTTTCTGCCGTGAGAGAAGAGAGCATAACTCAAAACATTTTAAGTAGGTAAGTACAAACAAAAAATTGGGTTGGGCCACTTCTGCTCTCATGGCCTCAATTAAATATGTATAAGAACCGTCCATCTCATGGTCGCTGAAATACTCCTCAATTTACGCGATTGTCGCTAAGTTGAATAGAGTTTCAGTGTCTGTTTAATGGCTTTCATTCATCTTCCCGGAGGGATAGTTATTGTCAGGGATGCCAACTCATTTTAGCTTTCTCCCTGTTTCCCACCGCGAAATTCCTCGAGTTTCGGTGAAATTCCCCGCACTGACATGATTCCAATAAAAAACTAAACAATTTTAATTCAATTCCTTGAATTTATTTACGAATGTACATACAATATTTAAATTTTAAATTTTTTTCACTAATTTTTTATAAAGTTATATCTTATTGTATAACATACACCATATAAGTCAAAGTAAAAAACTTTGGGCAAAACTCACAAAAATTCAACAAATTAAAAAACAAAAATTAAATCAAAATTTTTAACTTTTTACTCGTAATTTTTAGAAGCCAATTTAATTTTATTATTATTTCATGTAGCTAATGAAAATAAAATTGCATATATTAATAAATTAATTAATAATTGCATTATTTATTATGTAACAAAAATTACAAAAAGTATTCTGCACTCTAAGTAAATTATTTAATGATTTAAAATTAAATAGTCAAAATTTCCCGCAAAAGGCAGCCATTCCCCGTTTCCCTGCAACGAGACAAATTCCCCGCAAGTAGGTTACCGTGTTTTTGTTTCTCGCTGTATCGATAATTGGTCCCACAAGCGCATGTAACTGGGCAAGTATGAGTTGCTCCAGAAGCCACCCGGTATTGGAAGCATTCCGTTCATGACTAGGGTTTATGAAGTCCTAGCCTAGCTCGTCCTCGGTACGGCTCTTATGACGGAAATAAAATAGGTTCGTACAGGGATTTTTGGTGAGAGTGACATACATATCTATAAAATTCCTTAGAATAAGCAAAAATATAAAACATTTTCTTTTTTTTTCAATTCTTATGCTTTAGTATATGTATACACTGCCAGAAAAAAGTATTGGCACACTAATTTTTTATAATAGTATGGTTCATTCTACAACAAAAAAACATAAGATTATAGTGTTTAAACTTTGAACAAAAATCGCGAAAATTCAATAAATTTTCATGCAAATTTTCAACTTTTTAATCAGATTTTTTCGAATTTTTTAAGTATGCAATTTTGTAGCCAATTAGATTCTAGCATAAAAAGGGCATGCTCAGAGTTAGTCAAAATTCGCATTGATTTTTGAGATTTTTTTTTGTTGACGGTGTTTTGCATTTTTTCCATATTAAGTATTTTCGAAATTTTTTTTTCTATGGATGGGCTACAAATCTGCATACTCAAAAAAATTCTATTAAATCTGATTAAAAAGTTGAAAATTTGCTGAATTCGCGCGAGTTTTTCAAAAAGTTTGGAAATTATGTTTTTATGTTTTTTGTTGTAGATTGAACCATATTTTTATAAAAAACTGGCCAAAAATTATGACGATAAAAATCCTTGCATATATTGTAAAAAATCAGCTGTGCCAATATTTTTTGAGGGCGGTGTATGCATATACAAAGTTTTCATATGAAAAAATAGGTATTCTCGCATAAAAAAATTCTATGATTAATAGATTGCACAAAAAGGTAAATAATGACGCGTGCAGCTCCGACAAATGTTTACATAGTCGAGTACATGTGCACCCGTTGTAAGGCCACGCGCCGTAGCGTACCAACATTTGTAAAACATATTCAGCGGGTTTTCTGCTTAGGTTTTCGCGTTATGCTTAGGTGTGTGGCAGGCAACAGGTACATAAAAAAAACAACAACACGTATTAAAGACAAGCAAAACAGCAACAATAAAAACACTTCAAACTTAGTTAAATACATACATATCTGTTTATCTGTTGGCAAGCAGTCAACTGGGCAACTGTCTAACAAATCAGTTGGTGGCTGCTAGCTGGTGGTGGTTGCCTAGTGGCTGGTGGTTGACTGGTGCGCGTTGGTGGCTTATCTGTTAACTTTCAACGACTGCGCAATGAAGCGACCACCTATGGTGTTACCACAACAACACTGCAGCTCAGCTTAACGCACAGAGTGCTGAGTATAGCTTTGTGATGTTGGTGCTGTGGCTTTTGTCATGGCAGTCAAAGTGTTGCAGGAACAACAACAAAAGCAAGACACATTGCTGGTGTATTGGCTCCAAATAAGAGTTAAACGTGTGGATATGTTGTTATTTTAGCATGTACATAATACCCGTATGTAAGTTAGCTCCACGTTGTTCTTGCTATTTTAATGACCTTTTGTTTTGGCTCAACATTTACGTTTTTTTGTTGGGCCTCTCTGCCTTGTTGTGGTTTTTTTTGGTCTGCTCAATAACATTGATGTTGCTGTTGTTGTTGTCGTTGCCGGCTTTGTTGCCCAACATTGTGTGTTGTGGGTGGTTTAATTATCCGCTAATGTTCGCAATCTATGCTGCCATGGTCGTCGTTTAACGACAACTTTAACCCCGAGCGCACACAAGCGCACACACCCAGTCAGCTGATTGCTGCACAAACGATGTATGCGTACACACTGAGGAGCGTTTGTGCTAATGTTTGCCACATGCTGTGCAACATAACAATGCATATCACACGCTGGCTAGCCGTAACAGTAACAGCAACAAAACCAAGTGGCATAGCAACAAAAACAATAACCAAAGGCCAAACACGCACACCCTTTTTGCAACACACGTCATTGCTCCACATTCGCGAGGGGAGCGCTCATGCAATACGCGCGCGCCCGGGTGACAGCCAACATGTGGCGCGAGCTGTTGCCATACATATATCGTATATGCAACCTTAGCACACTACCGCTGGCTTACAAACATAGATAGGTGTACATAAAGTAGATGTGTGGCAAAACACTTTGGTTGACGTTGATGCTGCGAAAACTTTTGTTAATTTAGTTCGATGCTGTTATTACTTTTGTTGCATCTATTGGCTGGTGGTCTTTTTTTGTTGTTGTTGCAGCCACATTTTGTTTTATGGTTCCTTCTGTGCTTACTTTGTTGTTATTTTTTTAATTTCATTATTTCATTTGCTTTGGTTTTCATATTTTTGGGTTTTTTTTTTGCTGTTAAACATTCGCTTGTTAATTGTTTTTGTTGCTGCATGCGTTTATTTTTATTTTTTTTGTTGTAATATGGTTTCATGTTTCTGACATTTAACGCTATATATTTGTTGTTAATTACCTTTCAAACACCCACTTATTCGCTCTCTATACATCTCTCACCGGAGGTCATCAACAGGCGGGGTCTGGTGTGAAAATTTAAAGTACTTAGTATTACTAGGCTGGTAGGCACAGTGTTTAGAAAGAAGAGAAATATGGTTGTTATAACTATTATTTTTAATTTTGGTTAGATTCATGAATTTTTTCTTAACGCTGTAGTTCACCTCTCATATCTGTTATAGTCCTTTCACAACACCACTTCTTTTTAATGGATTTGAGAATAAAAACTTTGATAGCAGTCAGCATAAAAATGTTGAAATTTCCCCCGAATATAGCAATCTACTATAGGATACCTGTGGGAAAATTAAGTAAGTGTGTCTTATAGATTCTTGAACAATTTTGAAAACTCATTTGCTTGAGGAAAGTATCATAAAAATCAATTTACATACGATCGTTAAACTGAACCCAGACGACAGGAATTCTACCATTATAATGGAAGCGCCGCAGGCCTATACAGTCTTTGTCTCAGTCATAGATAGATATAAGTGTAAGCTTGGCAAGTTCAAGAATTTTCTCGGCTAATTGTCTGGGCCGCACTCATAGTATACCGAATGCACACAGCTGTGATATGAGCCATCCTCTTGTACGGGGTCTCCGTATGGTGGCTTGCGTTAAACGGGTTTTTATTCAGAACCAAAGTGGAACGGGTACAAATGATAGCTTCCGTGCTTGTCACGGGAGCCAAAAATAAATAAAAAAAATAAAAAAATTTTAGCTGACTGTAATGCTGCCGTGGAGAGATCTCAGATTCTGACAAGCAATCGTCCTTGAAACTCCACCGGATAATCTACGACAACTAGATTATATCCCTCCTCGACTCTATTTAGACAACAAATTCTCCAAAATAATACCAGAAGGTAATATACAGATGGTTCCAAACTAAACGAAAAAGGCGGTAGCGGGACTTATTCTGATGAACTGGCACCAAACCTCAGTTTCCTCTTACCAGACCATCGTAGCGTTCTTCAACTGAACTGCATAATTTAGGTCGCGCGGTGGCTCATAACTTCCCACAGCCAAGCTGCTATTAAATCTCTCAAATCCTACCGAACAAGAGTCAAAGTAGCCATATGGTGCTGACTTCAAAATGCTCCTTGACTGTTTTATTGGTGCTTGGAAATAGGAACATTCCTGGCAACTGCATAGCCAACGAGCTGGCAAGTATAGGCACGGAAATACCCGAAGTTAATTCTGCTCAAAATGCGGGCATACCTCTAACCTCCGGAAAAACCCAGATTAAAGGCTGAAATCATCGAGGAGGTAAATACCAGGTCAACTGTGAAAACTACTACCAGGCAAATTTAGAAAAAATGTTTGCAAAGCGATTCATAGCCCTTACTCGAATTGACCGCTCTTCCTTCAGACTAGTAGGCGGGGTAATCACCACACACTGCTCGAAGGGCATGCATGAAAAAAGGTTGAGATATCCAAGCAACAATTTTTGCCACAGCTGCAGAGACAAGGAGGAAGAGGGGACGATCGAACATTATACATATCTGTTCCGCCCTAGCAAACATGCACCATCACTTCTGCGACAAGTAGTTTTTAGATTGCATAGCCGACCTGAACTCAGTGAACATTTTCAATTTTTTGTGCCATGTGAAATGCATTCGGTAGTTCGGTTATTTGGGGAGGGTAAGAAACAAATTGCTCGTGCCTCCGTGCCCTGCGCTGTGTCGGACCTTAAAACCTAATTAACCTAATGGTCTTGAGCTGTGTGGACTATCATAAGTTTCAATGCTTTGCGTCAAAGTCGCAGTGGTTACAAAATGTATCAATACCAATGAACACAAATTGCACTCAGTCTCAGTGTTAAGATAATTGTCAGTGCAAACGCGAAACTGGTTCCTTGGCTGAAACCTTTCTTAGTCCGAGGCCAACCAATGAGCGGTGGGCGGCTTTTATTTCTGAGCGGCGCCGCCCAGCCATTCAGAAATGCGGCTCATAGCTCATCCGATCGCCGCTTTGCCATTCATTGCATTTACTCGGCCTTTGGCTGCAATAGAGATTATGTTAGTTAAGGAATTGGTGGTGTAAATATAGGTTACGGATGGCCAAAAGCAATTAATGTTCGCTGGTAGTTCTACTATTATTTGTCGAGAGCGGGGGTATGAGTCCAAATACTGAACGCGCACCAACAGAGTACTCATAGCTCAAATTAAAGCTGATATGAGCAGCGATCCGACAAGCGCTGAGAAAGCCACCACATTCCATCAAGGCTTATCAATTCTCAATTTAGCCATCAGCAAGCTGTATGGTCTCGGTTTTAGGGGAAATAAGTCAGTGTGACTAGATATTAGTCAAAATTATTAAAAATAGGTATACATGCTAAGGCCTTGCGCACATGCTCAGCCTATAGCTTGGCAGACAGTTGAGCTGACAGAACAAACACAGTACATGCACAGGCGCGCACTTCGCACTTCACATTGCTTGTACGTGCAGCGCTTATCAGCTCAGTGATAAGCTCTCTGTGTGCGCGAATCCTAATGGCATGGATTTAAATCTGTGGAAGCTTTTACCCCGTGCGCGTCCATATAAAATCCACAGAGGGCCTTGAAGAGTTCCGCCCGTGGGCGCTGTTTTGAGCATCACTGATTTAAATGAACTTAACCAAGAGTACTTACTAAGTTAAAAATATTTATCAAGGCACTCGCCGAAAAGAAAAAAAGATAAACCTGTGGAGTCTCGGGGTTCGGGAATCAGGCTATCCTTT